CTAACATTTTAATGAGTTTTTTTACAGGTACTAGTAACATTACTGTAGTTATTTCCAGCGCTAGCTATAAGTATGGATATAAGATTCAATGTTTCTTTTTTAATATGTTATCACATTGAAAAAAGTTGGCAAATTGAAAGGAAAAATGTATTACCAGTTGTACTACCACCCCTGCCTAGCCTCCATTTATATGTTGGTATAATGTATAGCCTTTTTTTCTTTTCATTTTAAATGAATCTTTAAACTGGCTTATTATCAAACAGTATATGAGTATGTTCCAAAGTGAACTTTGCGGGTTCATTGAAATTAATTACATTTAAAATGTTGCTCAGTCATCACCATTATATATCCCCAAACCATGTGATCACTCCAAACAGAACTCAGTGAGCATGATTCCCCAGTCTCCATTCTTCCCAGCTCCTGTGACTGCCAATCTACGTTTGTCTCAACGCATGTGCCTGTGGTCTTCTAGATAGTTTATGTAACTGGCCTCCTAAAATACTTGGCTTTTTGTGTCTGACTTATTTTATTCACCATAATATTTTCATAATGTCATAGCACGTGTTAAAACGTTACTTCTCTTTATGGTGGAATTGTTTTTCATTGTTTGTAAGGTGTCATGTTTTTTATTCATTTGCTAACGGACACTCCTTTTTTAGAGTAGAAAAACATCAGGGGAAAAAGGAAGAAAGCAAAACGGACTGTACGTTCTAAAATGACACTGTTATACAGTTTCCCTGCCTACTTCACAACCCCGACTCTGGGCTCTGCTTTCTATTTGCAATGGCTTGTTCATACATTTAGAACAGAACACATTTTTCTTCATTCTGCTTCCCCAAGTTGTAGCCAAGTTTCTAGCACATAGTCACATTTCATGAAAACTGGTTGAGTAAAGGGAGAGAGGAAAAAAACGTACACTAACGGAGCCTGAGAGCAGAAAACATTGCATCAGGATGTTTGGGGCTGTAAGTTACAAAGTATCAGCAAATGTCTGTAACTTGGAGGACTCAAGTTCAGGGCTGTAAGCTACAAAGTATCAGCAAATGTCTGTAACTTGGAGGACTCAAGTTCAGGCAGGGCTGTAAGTTACAAAGTATCAGCAAATGTCTGTAACTTGGAGGACTCAAGTTCAGTCAGGGCCGGGCAGGTTTGGTTGTGCAGCTGAGCAGTGTCATGACAGACCCAGGTGGTTTTCATTTTCCTTGTATCCAGCCTCCTCCACACGGTGACTTCTTCCTTTCCAGTTGCAAGATGGGCTTAGGAGTTCCACATGTCATTTGCAGTGTTTCCTCCCCTGTGTCTCAGTTTCTTACAGAGGAAAACCCTCCACAGATGCTTCCAGCTGATTTCCACTCAGGTCCGATTGGCCGGGATTGGTTCACAAGCCTAAGGCCTAGCTTCCGAGGAGAGTGAGGGTCTGACATCTCCAGCCTCTATGAGGGGAAGCAGCTCTGCCAGCAAGACAAATGAAAAGGAGGGTTGGGGTAGGATGGCAAAGGCGATTGGGTAGACACCAACAGTGACTGATAGAAATGCCAGAAGCAGCAGTGGTAGGGAAAAGGAGACAGATGTGCCACGGGATATGAAAGTACTAATAGAAATACGACAAAAATAGCCTGTAGTTAAACAAACAACCTGGAGGATCTGTAATGTTATATAGAGGCAGTGCTGGTGGCACAGTGGCTATTGACCCAAAGATAAGTGGTTCTGATAACACTGGCTGCTCCATGGAAGCGAGATGGGGCGGCAGTCTGCTTCTGTGAAAAGTGTAGCCTGGGAAACTAGAAGTGCAGTTCTACTCTGTTCTCAAGGGTCGCTTGACTTTATGGGAATGGGATCTTTAATACAAGGAGCCCTGGTGGCTCTGTGGGTTAGGCATTGGGCTGCTAACTGCAAGGTTGGTGGTTCAACCCATCACCAGTTCTGCGGGAGGAAGTTGAGGCTGTCTGCTCCAGTAAAAGTTTACAATCTCAGAAACCCTATATAGGGTTGCTCTGGGTCAGAATTCACTCCATGACAGTGACATAATGTTTATAATTAGAAGGTTGGTGGTTTGAAACCACCTAGTGGCTCTGCGGGAGGAAGAACTGATGATCTGTTCCCATAAAGATTACCCATTGCCTTCGAGTGGATCCCGACTCATAGCAACCCTACAGGACAGACTACAGCTGCCTTTTGTTGGGCTTCCGACCAGTTCATCTTTCTCCCATGGAGTGTCTGATCAATTTAAACCATCGATTTCTTGATGCGCAGCTAGCCTTGAACCACTGCACTGCTGGGCTCCTTCCATGAAGATTATAGCCGAGAAAACCCTATGGGGCAGTCCTACTGTCTCACGTGTATTTTATGTAGTTTTACTTTTATACATAGTTTCCAAGAATACATAGCAAACTATTAAACGCACTGCTAATAAAAACTTAAGGTTCTTTAAAAAGAAACATCATGAGGGGTCACTGTGAGTCAACATCAACCCCATGGTACCCGACGATAACAACATCTATACGATCATATCTATTTCAAAAAGTTCCTATCATGTATTTCAAAAAGTTCCTGGAAAATAGATTTAGGAAAGAATGGACTTTTCCCAGGAACCTTTTGAGGCGGCCCCTCTCACCTGCAGGAAAAAGATCCCTAAGGACACTGTTGGGCAAGCATTGGGCCACTAACCACAAGGTCAGAGGTTCGAGCCCACCAGCCTCTTTGCAGGAGAAACACAAGGTTATCGGCTTCCATGTAGGGTTGTTGTGAGTTAGAATCAATTGGATGGCAGCAGATGTGGTTTTTATTCGTTTGACACGTGTTTAAAGGATGTAAGGACAATAGTGTTTCTAGACAACCATGTGTAATACCCTAGAGCCGATCCTGGTTTTATTGGACCATATAAATATGAAGGTAATCTTTTAAATAAAAATGGATATGAACTTGCAAGTACAGTTTCACTAGGCCCAGTACAAATCATGGGAAGCTTCATGACCTTCACAGTTCATCTTAAGTTATATTATAAAAGTGCCAGCCCCACAGCTAACATTACTACTAACTAGAGAGAACAGAACAACGGTTCAGGGTGGGATTGGGTAACAAATCACAACAATATTATTTACTTTATTAATATAATATTCAGGGAATGGAAGATAACAATAGTATTAATATTGTTCAAGGGAAGGATAAGATGTGGGTATGATGAACTAAATACTAGACAGTTCTTAAAAATAACCTTAAGTTTTAGTATTGCTTTTAAGCAGTTATAGTTTGTTGCATACTCTGTACTCTTAGAAACTGTGTATAAAATTGAAAATTTATGCTTAACTGAAAAAAATGTTCAAGTCATTATATGTACTCACGGTGTGTTTAAATATGGTCACATAAAGCTGGAATGGTCAGCAATAAAACATTTGACTTGGTAGTACATGTATATTTTGGGTTAGATTGAATTCTTAAATAATATACTACTAATTAACCGAAAATACAAGAATTATATATAAAAATGTTATAAAAATGATACACATCTTATTTCATATTTACTTCTAATTCCATTGGGGATGGAAGAAATTGGGTCACCTGTTTTACCTACTGTCGGGTTGGGCTTCAGGCCATTGTTCTAGCATCCCAGAGATGGCTTCCAGGGAGCCGCGATAACCGTTAGATTGATATTCCAGTGTGGTGCTCCCTTCCCATCTCTCCTTTTTTAAAAAACCATTTGCTTCTGGTTCTTGAGATTACATATCGCCCTCCCATTGTATCTCATACATAATACCACATTTAAAAAAATGGAAATAGATATTTGGTAATCAGTGTGGTGTTAATTTGTACAAGTGTGTTATCTACACAAGAATGGAATGAACCTGGCACATAATAACCTTCCATTAATACTTGCTTAATGAAAGACTGAATGAACCATTTATACAATATTGGGAGTTCTATGATAATTATGATAATTGGAGGAAAACACATGTTGGGTAGTAACCTACATTTCCTAGCATTATTTTCTGTTTTATTACCACTCTTGAAATTTTAAACATCTTATTTTTCTTTAAGATAAAGACATTAAATGATTTGCTGAGTTAGATATCTTAGTTTGGCTATTGAGGGATATTTATACATTGTTAAGGCTGTGGAAATATGGGCAAATAGCATAATTTGAAAGGCAGAGATGCTAGAGGTAAGTGCATGATTCAGTACGAGAAGTCATGAAACAATGAGAGGAATCAGTAACTATATGATGCTTCCCAAATGTATTTTTAACATTTATTTTATATTGGTCTGCCTGACTCTCTTCTGTTCTCTACCATTTATAATGTGTTATTTTTTTCCAGCTATGATTCTTGGACACACAAATAAATCAACATGTTGTTGGATAGTCAAAAGATATTTATAGCATTTCTGACATAAATGTATTCCTTTATCTAAATATTAACATTTATGAATGTTAAACTATTTCTTTTGTAGAGCTTGTTTTTGAAAGTGCTTTTAGATGGATGGTGCAATGTCACACTTGGATTTTCTATAAGGTTTGGATAAAAGAAAAGAATTGAAAAATCAACATTATTGGCACAAGATTCATGTTAATGTTTACTCACGTAAATAGAACAAAATACTGTTTAATTAGTGTGGTTGGTAAATTTTTGGTACTTTAATTTTCACTGTTATTGTAAACCACGCATAAAACGCTTGTCTATTGAGAAGTGCAGAATTGTCAGAGCTTAAACAGCTGACATCTGCTTACTCTCTTTAAAAAAAAAAAAAAAGAATAACAAGCCATTTCAGCCTAATCTACCTCAAATGTGTTCATGTAAATGGAGGTCCATCCATTGACCTGCATTCTTTTCAGCTCAGGATTGGTCCACATGGTTTATGAAACAGGAAGCCTGATCTGAAATGCAGATGTCGAGGCAGTGAAGTACGCCCTCCCCTTTTTCTTTGCTGTATCTGTCAGGGTGAAAAATGGCTTGCACAAGGGTCAGTCACCCATACTCACTTAATTACTTTTCTTGGACCCACAGAACTGTCACAAGCTGTGGTGGATGCAGGAGCGGTTCCTCTGTTAGTGCTCTGTATCCAGGAGCCCGAAATTGCTTTGAAAAGGATTGCTGCTTCAGCCCTCAGTGATATTTCAAAGCATTCTCCAGAGCTAGCCCAGACAGTAGTGGATGCAGGAGCTATTGCTCACTTAGCCCAGATGATCCTGAATCCTGATGCTAAACTGAAGGTATTTAACAATAAAGTTAAGCCGTCATTCAGATTTACGTGGCAACCTGAGAAAATGGAATGTGCAGATCCTTATTGATACATTTTAAAATAGTAATCTTTGAACACATATGAATAGATGATACATTTTGCCATTTAATATGTGAAAATTCTTACTATAAGAATTTGATGATAAATATGCTCTTGAGGGAAACATGCAGCGTTGAAAACTAGAAATGTCATCAGTGCTAATGTTAATCATTAAAAGAATGACATGATCAGAGAGCCCCAGGGTGCAAAAGACTTAAAGGTGTTCTGATACCACCATCATAATACTTGTTTCTTATGGAAAATTTCTGTGATCGAATTTCTTATATCTTTCTGAAATCTGATTTTCAATTAATAGTCACAACTATACTTTCATGTTCTAAGAGGTATATTCTATATAATTTTGGAAGTATTAATGTTACCGAAGCAGTTGAAAATTCTTTGAAGTATTATCAGCTTCGTGTAAAAAATGTTAGCTCTGCTTGATGGATTTTTATATAAAACTCATAAATTAATAATGTATTACATAATTATGAAATATTATTTATCCAAAGGTAATCTTAATTGCTCATCTGCAATAGCTAGAATAGTCCATTTAGAGCTGAGACATTTAATTTTTTAAGTTAGGGAATTGAAAAATGAGATATGAATATGAATGTCTCCAACCTCAGAAATCTCAGGTATATTAGCTACATCATTGTTTTTTCTTTATAAAGGAATTTGCCTACATAGGAAGCTGTTTAAATTACATCTGACCTCTTTTGTAGACTCTGCGTCATGTTTTGTTTTGTTTTTCACTAATAGCGTCAAGTCCTTTCAGCTCTCAGTCAGATCGCAAAACATTCTGTGGATTTGGCAGAAATGGTGGTTGAAGCAGAGATTTTTCCAGTTGTACTCACCTGTCTGAAGGACAGAGATGAATATGTGAAGAAAAACGCTTCTACTTTAATCAGAGAGATTGCAAAACATACCCCCGAGGTAAAAAACAAAGCCTTCAAAATAAAATAATTGGTAGTTAATTTTAGTTTTAAAATAAAAATATCAATTTGTTTACAGGGCCCAAAGATTGTGCCACATGAGATCTGGGTTTCTCATTCTTAGAACGACTAACATTTTGGACTGGACAGTTTTGGGGTGGATGTTCATTTAGTAGCATCTCTGGCTTAGCTCACTAGATGCCAATAGCATCCGCCAGTCACGACAATCAAAAAATGACTCCATACGTTGCCAAATATTCAATATTCCCTGGGGGCGGGGGCAAAATTGCTCCCAGTTGAGAACTGCTGGGTTAGATCAATGGCGCTTGAGTCTGAAATCTCAGTTTGTAATCATTTCCAGCCTCCTGTCTCCAGAGCATGGATGCTGTGGGCCTTTGCCATGCTTACCCTGTCAGGTCAGCGGGGAGTAGTGAGCATGACATTGTACATCTCGACTGAGGGAAACCCCACAGGGGACCCCGAGCCCAGTGTGACCACCCTAATAGCTACTCTTAAGCATCATTTTTCCCCCCCAGCTCTGAGTTCTTAAATGTCAAGAAAATGGGCAAAGCAGGCCGGCGTTGATTCTCAAGTAGAATGTATTTTTTCCTGTGTATGTTTTGACTAATCCTTTTTCACTTCATTAAACTTTAAAATCTTCATTCTTTATTTCACCTAACACCTTTTCTTGGCTGAGATTTTTCAAGGGTGAAGTGCAACCAGCTCGTAATCATTACTAGCGAAAGGAGGATAATTAGATGAGACGATTTCAAGTCTGACATTGTCTCTCAGCATTCTATGATTGATCTGCGTCATCCTCACACATCATGACTGGGAGTTTCAGTAGTTAGCTAGTTAGGAACTAGCCCAAGGCTCAGTGACTAGGTGAGGAATTTTGACATCCATTATAATAGTGATAAAAGTTGTGCCGTTGCTGCATAAAAAATTGAACCACAGGGAAAAGCCCCTCGCAGTGAGTATATCTGTGCTTCTGAAATACTGAGATGATTATGCTTGTGTACATCGGATATAGTAATTTCCTCAATGATCTTTTCAGGTATATTTAGGCTCTGCATTAAACACTCACACCAAACCAAAGCTTGGGAATACTAAATAGCGTATTGAGATGACCTTCAGGTTTTGGGCCGTGGTTACCGAGCTGTGCTCCCTTCCCCGCAGCTTTCCCAGCTGATTGTTAATGCCGGAGGAGTGGCTGCCGTGGTGGACTGCCTGGGGTCCTGCAAGGGGAACACGCGGCTGCCTGGCATCATGATGCTGGGTTACGTGGCGGCGCACTCTGAGAACCTGGCGATGGCCGTGATCATCTCCAAGGTGTGTTCTTGCTGTCCTTTCTCTAGGATTGCCGTGAGATATTCTAATTAAGAGTGTGATAAACATTCTCCTGTAGAATATGTCTGATCAGAGCACTCAGAAATGACCCCGTGGGCAGTGTGTGGGTGGTGATCCCTTAAGATTCCTAAAGCCCTGCTTGAAGTAAGGTTCCCTTCCTTAGGAAGTGTCAGGTTGTGAGGTGTTTAGGATCAATACAGTGTGAACGGTTTGAATATTTTAGTGTGATCTGTAGTTTAAACAGTAAGTGTTCTTGTATGTTTAAGGTTTGTGGATATTTATAAGTGTGCATGCAGACTTTGGTGTATGATGCTATTCTAGATGTCATACCCGATTGTCATCTTCACAGTAGAGAAGTTTCCTCCCTTTCCTGCCATTTACTTAAGAGATGACCATGGCTAGGGTATACCTTTTTAAAAGGGACTTTTCTCTCCTGTTTCAGGCCTTAAAAGTAGACAATTCAGAGGCCAAGTCAGATAGCAGTAGCTTTGTTTCCTTGCCCGCCCCCCTGCCCCCCACTTCAGTTCACAACCTTGCATTTACCCACAATGGACTGTAGCCCTGACACTTAGTAGGTGCTCAAAAGGTATTTGTTGAATGAATAAATATTGATCTCCACAAGAATGCTTTCAAGACCATGCACTTAAAAGTGTGTCTGTGGCGACCCCCTAGGGTGTGGGTTTCTTATCAGCATAGAAAACATGCTGCTGTATGCTAAGCAGAAATGGGGGTTTGAGCCCATGCTGATCCTCAGAATAAAAAGGAGCCCCAGATCTTTAGTTTGTTCCTATTCCATGGTAATTCTCTGTTTCCCTCCCTTTTCACCCTGCCACTTCCTTTTGTTGTCCTGTTACCACAGACTTCCCTCAGTGCTTGCAGAGGGAGGGCCACTGTAGGGACTGCAGAGAGGGTTGATTATTGATTCTTTTGTGGCTAGTCGGAAAGCTTACTCATAGGAAAAATTAACGAAAAGAGAAGAAATTGCTTTTGCTTCCTGTATCCCATCCTCAAACTCACCAGGAGAAGTTCTTTCTTCTACTTTGGTCTCGGGCCCCTGTGGCCTCTTCCCCGAGGTTGCTTTCTCAGTCATAGTTGAAGATCTAATTGGCAGCCGCAGTCAGAGGCAAGCCGCCCAATACCCTATTGTTCTCTCTTTCTCCTAAATGTTACCAGAAAGACTAACAATAACACCTCTTATTTAAATAATCCTGTATAGTTTTCAGGGCACATTATTCATAACAGGGGTTGTCTCCCTCCCTTGCCTCCCCCGCCCCGCCCTGCTTCTCTTCAAGCTCAATATCCCTGAAGGACGGACTTCCGGGAAAGTTGCTGGGTGCTTGTGACAGGTCTGACCTTTTGGGCTGGCAGAGACACATTTTCCAGGTCTAGAAAAGAAGCAGGGAAGGACTCTGGCAGAGCTCTTCAGGAAATTGATCTTAACAACCAAATTAAAAAGTAGAGGGAAAAAATCTAGATGATGATTTGGCCTTTGCTCAGGAGCGCTTAGTTTCTATGTTACAATACTTGGGATGACTGTCACAGTGTCAGGTTAGTCAGACAGTGGTGCTGTACAGAAATTGGGATTGCATTTTCCATAGGTGGGTTCCTCCTAGGGAAGATAAACTGGTTTATTATTTTAGTTTTCGGTTTTGACTAGGTAAAATTGAAGACTAAAGTATAAGAAGTAGCTTGGCTTATCTGTCTAACAAAATAATTTCTACATTGACAATTAAACAAGGTCAAATGGTCAAATCTAGAATTTAAAAGTTGGCAAAAATTACTAGAAAATTTTAGTTTACTATTTTAGGAAAAGTAATAATAAAAATAATGTCAAAAAGGCATTCTAGCTCATATTATTAATTTGATTTTCTATCCATAGTAGTTAACTTATTCTCAGATGTATTTATTATACCTGTTGGGGAGGTGTCAGGGGCAATTTCTTTAAGGGTTCTAAATTAACTTTTTAAACAAGGAAAATAGGACACTTGAAAATCGTATCTATTTTCAGTTTGTCATAGTGTAACTTGATTTTCCCTGTATTCTGGTCTGCTGTTTGATTCTGTGATTTTCCCTGAGTTCTGGCTTCTGTTGATGGATGAAGTGCACCTCTATGTGGAGAGGTAAAAGCTAGCAGAGAGATTCTTGGTGTTTAGTTGGATTGTTACAGATAATTAAGGTAAATTAGTTCTAGTCGTTTTATTGACTTGAAAAATGACAGCCCCTGTGATGTGCTCATTTATTCAGCTGTTTGGGGAAAAAAGGATCAAGACTGAAATGATTTCTTCTAAGGCTTGAGAGACATGGAAAGACTCTTTAATCCTGCGCTGGAGTCATAACATTTGCTCTTTTGATCAACACTGCAGGGTGTACCCCAGTTGTCAGTCTGCTTGTCAGAAGAGCCAGAAGACCATATTAAGGCTGCGGCTGCTTGGGCCTTAGGACAGATTGGGAGACACACTCCCGAACACGCGCGGGCTGTGGCTGTCACAAATACGTTGCCAGTTCTGCTCTCCCTGTACATGTCAACGGAAAGTTCTGAGGATCTCCAAGTAAAA